GGAATCTGTTTCAGTGCTCAACCCCCTCAGTCAGGAAATTCTTCCTAACAGCTAATCTAAACCTCCCTTGCTGACTCCTCTCCCTGTTGCCCGGCACTCAAATTCACTCACTCACACACTCACAGAATTCCAGAAAGCTCCATCCAGGAGAACTCCTGCTGCAGCATGGAGGCAAGCAGAGGACCGTCTGGAAGCAGCTGCTGTCTTCCATGAAAATAAGCTAGCTGGGGTGCTACCTGTCTGCTCACTGAGGTATTCAACAGAGCTGCTCGCCATGCCTGCCACAGAGTGCTTCTGCTGCTGCTGCTGTGATGCACGGTGTTATCTGATGCATGCTCCAAATGTTAAAAAGGAAGGAAAAAAACCTCAGAGAGCACAGCACAAAAACCACAGCACCAGGCAGGCCAGTAGCAAGGCTCCTTCTGCAGACCCTCTGGTCTGGTACAACATACTCTCAAACTGCTCCCCTCCCCTTTGCAAGCTGCAATGTGCACTGAAGCGTGCCGCTTCCCTATAACCTTCCTTCACTCCCCTGGGAGACTGCCCCTGGCTTTCCCCCAACACCAGCAGAGCACACCCTTTTCTTTTCTTTACATGGGTTGGTGCAGATCCTGTCAAAGTTGCTCCTGGATTTGCAAAGCGCTCGGATACTATGGTATGGAGTAAGGGGGAAGAACCTGCATTGTATGGACCAGCATGTGAAGTTCTTAGGCCAGCTGTTTTTTTCCTCCAAAACAAGAGCACAAGAGGAGAAGCCTCAAGTCTGTCTGTGCTTCCTGCCTGCCGAGTGCTCCAGACAGCACAATTCTGGCATAGAAATCAGGTTGCCCATCTACAGCTCCTCTCCCCCCCACAGTGAGAAAAGCACAGAGGGCAGTTCAACACAAAGCCTGCCCGCCTATCAAAAGAGATGTTCTCAGGACAGCAACAAAAAGGAGCAGGGGACCCAGCAGTGAAGACTGGGAAGTCTAAGCTGTGAGTGCAGAGACCAGCCCTGGGTGACTAGTATGTAAGCTCCTCTTGACTTGACTTGCTTACAGCAGGGACTGAATGGATCTACCCAGTCCTAGTTTCATTCACAAATCCAGGTACTTGAATTCATCCAAGATTTGTGTGGAAATGGGTACCGTATTTCCCACACTCGTGTGATCCTTGGAGCGTGGCATAGCATGAGGTTGGTCTCTCTAACATGCCAGGGGCATCTGACCAGCAAACCCAGCACTATAGCTGCTAGTGCTCCTATATAAAAGCATGCACAATCTTGAGTCCTAGCACAGGACAGTTCCTTCTGCAGCCCAGTCACACATGCCAAAGTCAGACAGCTACCCCTAAATCTTTCCTTCCGAATGATTCACTGCTCCAGGTGAGCAGTCTGTACAGCACGGGCCCATACCCATGTCTATACACATAAGAAGAGGAGTCCGATACAAAGGTCAAAGATCTCTTTGAGCAACTCTTCAGCCAACTTCACACAAGATTTTGCTGGCTACTACTGAGTGCTAGGATTACAACGGCTCATGAAAAAGCAGCTGTAGGAAGCCCACGAGACATTCCCGAAATGTTTCCATAACCAAGCACATTTCTGCTGGATTATTGCTCTGTTTGGCTCGGTATGCTGGTGCTCTTGCTTTTGATCTGCGTAACGCCAGACACCAGATGCAAATGAACTGTGACAGCAAAAGGGATCCCACCAGCGCTCTGTTGTAGAGTCCGACAGAAAGCAGCAGTGCTGAGGTCCACCCTGTGGCTTAGAGCCCCAAGATCACCGCGGGACAGCCGGGGAGCTGTCCTGTTCCAATGAGTTCCCCCCTAGAGACAGGTCTTCCCACCACTGGGTCACATCTGTCAGAACCATGTTTTCAGATCCTTATACGAAACACTATAAAACTCTGTATATCTGGGGGGGAGATCTATGCAACGCCAGATACACTTTCCTCCTTAGCCACAGCTAAACTTTCAGTTGGGCTCTCTACACTGTAGCTGTATGGCATGATGATTGTTACAGGCCTTACAATAGCACCTGGAAGCCCCAATTAGGATTTGGACCCTACCGGAGAAACACTTGATAAGAGGCTGTGTCTGCCTTGCAGGGTGCACTGGCTAACCAGATGAGACAGATAAAAGTATCATCACTTCTATTTCAGAGGCGAGGCAAACGAAGGACAGAAAAATCAAGTGCTTTGCCAAAGGTCACGCCAGAAGTCTGTTGCAGAGCTGGAGACAGAGTGCAGCTCTCGCGTCTCAGTCCTGTGCTTTGCCTGCTCTCAGCATCAGAAAGAATAATGAAACTGAAGCCCGTGTTAAGTTTGGCATGTGTTTAAATGGAGCATGGCTAGGAGGGAACAAGAGAATTAGACGCATAGGACCCCCACTCATGTTAACCAAGACACCCAAGGAACACAAAGGAAGCTAGTGCCACCCCCCCTACCCAATTTACCTGGTCACCTTTTATTTCCCGAGTGAATAAGAACTTTCTTGGCCAGACAATTAAACCCACTGTAGGGATCCTATTACAAATCAGATATTAGCCAAAATCACTTTCTGCCTCTGGCCACATCAAATAAAAGGCCAAGTAAGCAGGCAACATTTCAGCAACTTGTTTCATGTAACAGCTCCAGGGTTTGCTAAAAGCATCTGCATCGATCCTGGCCCTTTAAATAGCACTTGCTGATTAAGAAACCTTCAGCCCACCTTAAAATTTGAAAGGTTTCTGTTTTTAAACAAGCCTGGCTTGTCAAATCACTTGTGAGCCCCAGTTCTGGCAATGCACTGCAAAACCAGATTAAGCAAACACTGGTGTTGAAGGGGAAAGGGGAGAACTGGGAGATGAAGAGGAAATAAATTCTGGACTGAAGTAGAACAATACTGAGATTCAACTCCAGCTGGGGCTTTGGCTGACAATGCCAGCCAATGCTGCAATGTGCAGCTCTCCAAAGGAGCTAGAAGCTCATAGCATCCAAAGCTGCACACGGCTCCCCTGTGGGTTCTGTGCAATTTAGGGCAGAAGGAATTAATTCCTCTAAGCCCGAACCCACCACCCTGCTGGTACAGAAGCAGCCTATTTTTAAGGGGGTGGAGGAAGTTCCCAGCACTGGAGTCACATGGGTGGCTGTGGTTAAAGCAATCTTATCGGATCCCAAATCAGACAGGAAACCTCTCTCTCCCTCTCTTTCAGGAATCTCTGTGGCTGAGTAATTAGGATCAAAGGGTTTCACATTACCCATGGTCACTTTCTGCTACTGCTGGTTACTTCCTTGCACCTAGCTGGGCTTGCACAAGGGAAACCTACAGCACAGTTCCACCGCTCAGGTTTCAGAGGCGAGCCTATGTGTGGGACAGCTGGGCTGTAAAGGGTCTGGGAGGAGGGGAGGGAGCTTGGATCCAAACTGGGAGAAGGTGGCACTCGCCCTCTCAGCTCTTTGGAAACAGACCATCTTTTTTGCATGGGGTTTGGACATGGCCCAGAAGTGGTCTGTGTTGGAGGTCCAAGACACTGCTGCAATACAAATCCACAGCAAACCAAAACACCTTGTGGGCTTAAGACCCTGCTAGGCCCCAGAGCCAGAGCCGCCAGTGCAGCCACCTTAGACAAAGATTTGCAACACAGATCCAGGGAGGGATTCTTAGGGGAAAGAGAAAGGAGCAGGGCAACATTCCTACCCCACCTTCCCAGACTTGGGTTTTTACTAATTCTGCACAATGAAAATCAGCACCCCTCATCAGCTTTGCCTGAAACTGCTCCCTGCAAAGCTGCCCAGCTACACGGCACAGAAGAGGGGACTAGGACAGACAGGTGATGAGAGAAAGTCACACAGGAGAGAGTTATCCCTAGGCCTCACCCCATGTCTTTCCATGCTGAGGACCTGCTGTGTCAGAGGGAAGAGGGAGCCGAAACCCTGACTCCTGCTGGAGTTGTCCAGTCTGGGTTCTAGCTGCTTCCAGGAAGAAGACAGCTGCAGTGCCGTCAAGGATGGCACTGCCAAGGCAGGTCGCCCTGGTGAGAGAGTGAGAGGACCCACCTACAAGGTCTAGCCTCAAGCATTTCCAAGGGCTGCCCTTTCTCCCAGTGCCTGTCTTGGCAGATTCCTCCCAACCCTTTGCCCCGAGGGCTCCTCTGTGCAGTTTTCTCTCCCTGCTCAGTTTACTAGCCTTGCAGCCTGGCTGCCTTTCCTGGAGACAAGCTTTCTGAGCTGAACAGGCTTTGCAGCCCCGGCACCAACCCAGACTTGGGAACCCGATGCCTGACTCTACCACACACAGCAGGCTCAGAAGGCCACTCCAGCAGCATCTTTCCCCCCTCAGAAAGATGCCCCTTAGGCCAACTCTACACCCAATGTTCTTACTCCTTAGTGCTTAAATTCAGCTGATCCAAAAGGTCTCTTCCCCCTGTAAGAAGAGCAGAATGAGACACCCCAGCTGTTTGGAGCCCTTCTCTTGGCCCACTGTTTTTCCGTGCCTCACGGCCACTCTTCCAAGACTGCAGAGCGCTGCAAAGCTACAGCAATCTGAACACCAAGGCAGCAGAGCCTCGAAAAACTGCCTCTTTCCAAACCAGCGAAAGCAAAAGGCCGAACTATATCCATGCCAGGGACTGCACCCTAACAGAGATCACCAAGTAAGCGCCTGCCTGCCCATTCCCCAACATGCCACATCCCTGTCGTTACTTAGGCACGTGCTTGCATGACAAGGCAACACTGTGACTAGCCAGTGATACAGGCAGTTTGGCAGCTAGAAGCAAGGCGGAGAACCCAGACCACCAGCAAGTGCTCCCCACGTCACAGCAGCAGAACCCGTGCCCCAAAGAAAACGAACCCATGGCTCTCAACTCGATCTATCAGACTAGGACTTGGTTCCAAAGCACATGTCTGGGGGCCAGAAAGCCAGGCATTTCCATGCACCAGAAGAAGGGAGCCCGCATCTAGGGGCAGTCCTAGCACACGGCTTGGGGAATGCTACAGGAGCCACATGGAAAGCCTGTGGGGAGCAGGGGCTACACATACCTTGGAAATGAGTTCATCGTGATTGGCCAGATGAGCCCTGCAGTGAATGCAGCTGTAGGTCCTGTGGCACGAAGGCAGGTATGCCTGGAAAGTCTTGGACCTCGTCATCTTCACCATTGGAGCCACCGAGTGCTGCGTGAACTCCGGGGTGGCCCAGGAGGCACTCCCACAGGAAGGGTCGCACGGGAAACACCGGAAGACGCAGGTAAAGGCCGTGGTTTGGCAGGGGATGGTGTGGGGCAGGCTCCACACGCAGCTGATGGCGGCAGAGGAAGAGATTCCGGTGGGAGGAGAGCAGGGCCACGCAGACCTGGGGAGACAACAGTATGCATCAGCAGCATTCATACTGGGCATTGTGCTGGGTAGACTCCCCCCCAGTGGCCTCCCACTCCAGTTTGGATGATGGGCTGTTACTACAGCAAGGGACCAAGGAGGACTCAGGACTCCCAGTGCCCACTGATTCTCCTGGAGGGAGTGGGGGCAGGTGGGTAGAGGAAAAGCACCAAGTCCTGTTCCCGTCTTTGCCACCAACTCGCTGTCAGACCTGGGTCAGCTCACTCCTTTCTAAGCTTCACTCTATCCAAGGTGCTTTTATGACGCCTGCTAACAAGCTAAGTGCCTCATAATCTTTCAGGGGTTTGTCGTCATACCTGCTGGGGGCTCAGGGAGGATGATTATCTCTGCATTACAGACTGGGAGCAAAAGCACAGACAAACTAAGTGACCTACCACAGGTGACACATGCAAAAGGAAGGAGTTGAAATCCACTCCCCTCAAAGCCTGGGAAAGGGCTCTAGCCACCCAATGGTCCTTCCCGTCTTCTGGGCCCAGTTCCCAGACATGTTAACCGAGGGTCACAGATAGGGCCTCCCTTCACAACCTGCCTCAAGTTCCAAAGCTAGAAGCCTCTCTAGACACGCAAGTTCCTTCACCACGAGACACCCGACAGTGGCCCCAGCTGGACTTGACTAGGAGTTAAATGTCTCATCACCACAGGGCATTCTCTGCTACCCCGTGCATTTGATGGAACTGGCTCAACGCTGCAGCTCAGATCTTCCAGCAGAAATCTAATGCTCTAAGATGCCTGTATGTCTTGTATGGAAATGGTTCCTTTATTTTGCTGGACGGAGGAAACAGCCCACTGGTGTAAAAGCAGCAGCCCCTGCCCAAAACATGGCATGTATTCTGGGAATTAGTTGTGGAGTCTGGCCGCTCTCCCCAGGAGGCTTTGCCCTTCTTTGAAGCACGTGACAGTGCAGATTCAGGTTCTGAACTGTGTACCAAATACTGCACATGCCCCCCCCCCCCCCCCCCCCCCCCCC